TTCATTATTTACAGATACATGAATGAATTTTTACTTTTTTGCATTCGGTATTTTATCCAGGATAGAAATTCAACCTCAATACTTCTCATGCCTGCCCAGTATCCCTATTTTTACTAAACTCACACTACCGTATAGCAAAAAAATTTTGTGGCCCAAAATTTTTACAGATCTGTCCAAAAATTAATTTCGTGGCTTTTTGTGGTTTTCTACATTTCGGCCATCTTAAACCGTATAGAATTGATTTTTGCAGATTTTGAAAAAAAATGCGAAATCCACGAAAATTTTGGGCCACGAAAATTTTCCACTATACGGTATTTTTTCTTTTCCTTTTAATGATACACTTTTCTTATTTTCCAGATGATGCTGATAAGATATTATCAAATGAGACTGGGTTGTTGAGATTACCTGGTGAGCCACTCTCAGTGGCAATGATTGACAGAGAAAGAAGCAAATCCAAGTAACTTATTAGAATTTATGAGAACTCAATAGTAGATTTTTTGTTCAAGATAATTGCTGTAGCACAATGATTACTTTTTGACATATATAATTTTTGGATTATATATAAAATATCAAACTTTTGAAGCAATACTTGAGCGTATTACCTTTACAGTGGATCATACATACATGTACTAGCTCAGGCACATGTACATAATCAGGTACTCTAATAGGAGGTATTAGGTACCGTGTAGTGCAACATTTTTTAGGGCTGTAATTTTGCAAGTTTGCCTAAAATATATTTAAATATATTTTGTGGATTTAATTTTTGTGAATTTATGCCTTCTGCCATTTTGTGTCATAATAATTTGATTTTCGTGGAAGTAATAGTAATTATTTTCACGAATCATCAAAAAATTGTGAAATCCGCGAAATTTATAGCCCTTGAAAAAAAGGTGCTCGTGGAACTTTTAGGAAACAGTATTACAGTGACGTATAGAGGGATATTGTAACTTAATCTTATCATTAAATAAGAGGTTATCTCACTAAAATCAAGAAAATTATGCTTTTGACCTAAATGTGGTCAAAATTACTTCGTGATGTGCAATTGTTATTTTCTATACAAAGATTACTATCAGGTCTCCTTGCATGGATTAGATCTTCGTGTAATTTGGTCAAAATTTGACTCCCCTCCCCCCCCCCCACTTTTGATCAACTTTGGACCACTTTTGCTTTTCTGGTATTTAATTTTGCTACAGTAGTAGTGTTGATAGTAGTACAATCCTATGGAGAATTGCTTACATAGTGTTTTACTAATATTTAGTTGTAAGCCAGCAAGTATAGACTTTTTTATAGACATTGTGTGAACTACTATGCGTTCATCATAACTGTATTGATGTCTACAACTCTCAGTAGTAATAAGTCATTTGTGCTTCCGACCCTGGACTAATATTTTGTTTAGTGAGCAGTTTATAGAATAAAGAGAAATAGTAATGTCTTGGTTTTTTCTCTTATCATTGGTACTTCATGTATCAGGTCAACCGTTTTTTGGTTCACTACCTCCTCGTCCAACTACTGGTCAGTAATTAATAATTATCAATTTTATTATCTAAGACTGATAGGTGTGAGGTTGTTTCTTGGTGAGGAGAATGTGACTATTGCTAATTTCTCAATGATAGCTGCTGGTCTGTTTCATGATAGAGATATAGATCAAGCAGATAATTCTGTTGGTACTGGTTCTGATCCTGATGGTCAGAATGATGGTTTGTGGTGTCAGAGTTCTCTTAATCAGAATATGATAGGAACATGGTATAATCCTGACCGAACAACTGTACCACCTGGTTCTGCTGATGGAAATGATGATCCTAGGCCTCTGTTTGCTAACAACACTGCTACTGGTCAAATTGGTTTGTTAAGAAATGGAGGAATAGGAGGTATTCAAGGACTATACAGTTGTGTTATACCAAGTGAAGAAGGAATTGATCAGACATTGTATGTTGCTGCTTATGGTAATGGAGATTTTTTTAAAGATGACGGTAAGTTTAATTTATAATACTTTTATTCAATTTTCTCATTATACAGAACTCCCAATTATTAGTAGTGGTCCCTCCTTCCAGCTCCTCTCATCAGTTGATGCTGATCCTCCAGTGTTTAGTTTATCATTTAATGTCACTAACAGATCACCAACAATAGTCACTTGCTCTGTTGATAATGGAAACCAGTTTAATGTATCTGATAATGATCTGATACGTACTGTAACACCAGTTAATAATGATGTACAAGTACAAGTATCAGTAATATTTAGAATGAGAGTGTCTGGTCTGTATAAATGTTCTGTTACTACTGACAGAATTACAACTACACCTTTAGTATCTACTAATATGGCAATGAGGGATGTTACTGGTAAGTTTTATCAGATTGTTTTAGCTATTACTTTTTCTTTTAGTAACTGGATCTCCATCAAACTTAGTCTACAGTAGAAATAGTCTTCCCTCAGTTACACTAGGCTGGTCTCCCTCATCAGTGATAAGTGCTACTCCTCAGTATCATGTCTTTATTAATAACAGTAATGGTATTATTATCAATGCTAATACTACAAATACTGAGCTGTCTCTCTCATTACGTCCTGATGATGAATATAATATTAGACTAGTAGCTACTGGTGAAGACTTACCTAGTGAAATAATCACTGCCACTATTCCTCAAGGTATACGTGTACTTTTTAATCTATTTTTATAAATCTTTTTTCAGTTGTCAGCATTGATGTACAAGGGCCAGTTATGATGCCATTGGATCATTCTTCTTCCTTTTCATTAACCTGTACATTGACATTAGCTCCTGAAGTGAATGATACTACAGTACAAATGTTCTGGGCAAGTCCTGATCTCATTCCGTTTAAGTCTACAACTGATAGAGACATAGCTTTAGATACTTTAGAGCCTACAATGATATCAGTTAATGATAGTGTTGTATATACACTTACTCTTAACTTCTTTTCACTACAACCATCACAAGTTGGAGAATATGTTTGTAGAGCTTCACTGAATGATGGTATTGATACTATTAGTATAGCATCAAGCTATTCTGTAACTGTAGAAGGTAAATCAGCAAATGCTAATATTAATTTTATATTACAGTTATTAATGAGTAGACCTATGTATATTGTGTTGGTAGTATTGTATGTAATTCTGTACGTTTGTATGGCTTTTATTATGGTTGTTAATTATGGGCCACAATCTATTAGTTTTTTCACTTGTCCAGCATTGTATACATGTTTTTTTCTCTTGTTCTTGTTCTCTTGTTATTTTTACACTGTTACGCTTGTTTTCTTGTTCTTACCTAAAACTTTGTGCTTTAATTAGATCAACTATGTTTCATTGTTGTATAGAGCTTGAAAAGCAAGGTTTGAGATTTGATGGTTCTAGTTATCTACAATACAGAACACAATTCAAACGCACCATAAGAAAAATGGTCATCGATGTTACCTTCAAACCATCCAGTTATTTTGGCTTAATCATGTTTGCTTCTCACTGGCAAAATGGAACTGGTTCCTACTTTTATATTCAGCTAAACAATACCCTAGAATTTGCTATGGACGTTGGAAATAATGTTGTTTCACTAAGGTTTGCAGGGCATGCATGTCATTAGTATCATTAATGATAATTTATTATTATTATTATTATTTTTTAGTACTCAGATGCATAGTATGGAGCTAGAAAAGTGGCAGAACCTTCGAATTATATACCATTCAATCAATAATATCGTGACCATGGAGTTGAACAAGCGTTTGGTGTCATTCACTACCTTCACTTCAACACTATCAGGTCTCAGACTATCCAGTGGATCATTATACATTGGTAGAACATCACCGAATGTTAGTAGTCCTCCTACATCATTAGTCAAGTCTGGCTTTAAAGGTTGCATTGATCAGGTAATTCAAATCATTTTTGCTAATAATTATTGGATAAATGATTTTATTATTAGATTAAAATGTCAATGAATGGATATTACACAGTTGAGGGCATCACTGAAGCAGTTAATATTGTAAATTGTTATAACGATAATTAAGTATTTTAGAAACTTTGATAGGCTAACTTTTAATGGACAATGTTATAGTTTTATTGACTGTTGTGAATGTTAGAGGTTTTTTTATCTCATTTAGAAAGTTTATGTGTCAGGCAAAAACATTCGATTTTTAATGCTGCATCAACCTTAAGTTGCGTCTAGACTAGTTTGTTTACTATTTTGAATTAATGTTGTAGGTGGCATTAGGGTAAATCCTTCTATCATTTCTTTTGATTATTATGGCTTTCTGAGAGTTCCTGCACATGCTTTGGGTGGGTGTAATTGCATGCTAGAGGGTTGGATGAATTCAAAGCCATCAATTGTGGTCAAAACATCTTTATAGCGTAGCTTAAACAAGAATTTCCAATTTCTTTTGTAAATTGCTAATGGCTATTGCTATCTACTGGTGTCTTTTATTGTTGGAATGCTTGCCTCAAGTTTTATCTTGTAAGTTATGAATATTATAATGATAGATCTAATTATAACAATATCATAATGTAGTGCTCCTGGTTCAGACTACCCCACCTTCTCCTACTCCAGTATGCCCTGGCAGTAAACTAGTATTCACCTGTTCAACCACAAGGAGCAATTTATTTTTTGGGATAGGATTAAGACCTGATCGTGTATACGTGATAACAAGTAGTAGCAGCCCAGGAACAGTTTCTGAGAGTTTCTATGTTACTGCAGCACAAGTTGGTAACACACTAGAATGTAATTTTACAAATGAATCAGTTCCTTTACAATTGGATGGAACTATCATCAATTGTTCAGATGACTATGGATCAACTCTTAATAGAACAGCTGTTCATATAGCAGGTACTAATGTTTAATATTATTATATTTATTTCTATTATTAACTTTAGATATACCAGAATCAGTTAATAATACTATGGTATATCCTATTAGTGATGATTCATTATTCATCGATTGGAGTGCTTCAGAATCATTATGTATAGATTACTATAATGTTACTATTATTAGTAACAACACAAATTCTGAATCTATTACTACTAATAGCACTAATGTAACAATTGATTCTCTCATTACTGGTACTGATTATTCATTTATCATTGTTCCTGTTGATACCGGTGGACGAGAAGGACCTCCTTCAACAATAGAGTACACAGGGAATGGTAAGAACTTCAATATATCCAATCTCTAATCTTTCTAATAGTCAGTGTAAGTACTACTGTTAAAAGCAGTTCAATTATTACTACTGAAAAAATCTCATCAGGTCAGTGTAGAGTGTAGACTTTATTATAATTTATAATCATTTAGTGACAACGTTATCAGTGGACTTAAGTAAACAGTTAACTTTAATTGGTAAGTAAACACTGTATGTGATCAATAAACTACAATACAAATAATTAAAGGAAGCGTATCAACAAATGCATTTACATCATCAGTTACAGCCTACACTAATTTACCACAATCATCAACAATGTCAGCACAAGCCACATCAACTGCCAGCAATAGTCTGGCTGGTCTGGACCAGTCAGTCTATTATAGCAATACAGCCACTCCTACTAGCACTGATACTGGCTCAAATATTGTCCCTATTATATTGGGAGTTATTAGTGGAACAGTAGCAGTACTCCTAATCATATTTGCAATATTGATGATAATAGTGGCAATCAAGAAGCACAGAAGTAAATAAATTTACTGACATCATTGTGTTAAAATCTATTATTATAGGTAATAATGTAAAAAAGTAAGTCATGATCATCATCATCATTACTATTATTATTATCTTATTATCATCATCATCACTATTATTATTGTCATCATCATTATTATTATTATTATACATAATAATTTATACTTTAAACATTCAGGGACAGCTCTACTACAGCAGGTAATTTTGGTTAGTGAAATTGATTATTTTAGTTTTATATTTTTATGTAAACAATTAGTCTCTTTAGACCACTCCAGAATTCCTCTAGATTTGAATTCAGCTTATCAAAGTAAAGCTCTTATTGTGATAAAAATTTATTGTGAATTTTTTAAAAGTACATTATCAAAAGGAAGAGACATATACAGATGACACTGTTATTGAGCAGTTGTTGATCAAATATTTAATACCGTCTTCACAAATTGATATACAAGAAGCCATTGGCCAAGGTTTAACATATAATGGTCAGTATAGACAATAACACTGCATGTTTGCATTAGGTGAGTTTGGAATTGTTTATAAAGCAACTATGAAACCAATGAATAAAAGTGAACAAGAAATTGCTTTAAAAACACTCAAAGGTACAAGTGATACTTAATAATAACTAATAAGAAATTTTGAATTAATTTAGGAGAATTTTCCCAGAGTGATGTCAATTCTCTTCTTGAAGAGTGCCTACTGATGTCAAACTTTGATAATCCTAATGTGCTGTCTCTCATTGGTGTATGTGCTGACCTGGGATCAGCTCCAGGCATCATTATGCCTTACATGTCAAAAGGAAGTCTATTGTCTTATTTGC